GCCAGGACTTGAACCACGGTCAACTACATGGGAGTCCAGCGACATAGCCATTATGCTAACTGCTGGTCCCCTGTTTACATTTTTAATAAACTACCAAATTATTTTCCAGAGTGGTTGCACATTTTAAATTCCCACCAAGAATATATGAGAGTTTCCTTTGAGCCACATCCTCACCAATATGTGATATGATTAGTCTTGTTTTGTTTATATTTCCTAATAGATGTATAGTTGTATTTCATTGTGGTTTTTATTTACATTTCCCTATGACTAATGACAGTTGTGATGGTTAATTTGGGGTGCCAACTGACTAAACTGAAGGATGCCGAGATGGCTGGTGAAACATTATTCCTGGGTGTATCTGTGAGAATATTGTCAGACAAGATTAGTGTGTGAGTCAGTGGACTGAGAGAGGAGGACCTACCTAAAGATTTCACAGAAAGAGCTATTAGAGCTAAGAAACAAATTCAGTAAAGGTACAGGATACAAAGTTAACACACAAAAATGAGTTGCATTTCTATATGCTGAATGTGAGCAATCCAAAAAAGAAAATAAGAAAGCAACAACACTGGGCCAACTGGTGGCGTGGTAGTTAAGGTGCTAGATCTCACATGGCCAATTTCATGATTTGAGTCCCAGACCCAGAGGTTTGAAAAACATGCTGGGCATGTGTGCATGCATGCCCCAAATCCTAAGAAGAATGGAGGAGAGGGGATTATAGTGTGGGCATCCCCCCAGGGGGAGTGATTTCTCACTTTTCCTCTTTCTGTCTCTCTCCAGCAAGCACACATGCCCTATAACAAAATTTAAAAAAAAGAATGAAGGAAAAAAAGCAATACTTAAAATAACATAAAAAAAATACTATTTAAGAATAAATTTAACCAAGGAGATGAAAGGCTTAATCACCAAGAACTACAAAATATTTCTGAAAGAAATCAAAAGAAAACAAAAAAGAAAGAAAGAAAGAAAGAAGGAAGGAAAGAAAGAAAGAAAGAAAGAAAGAAAGAAAGAAAGAAAGAAAAAGAAAGAAAGAAAGACATCCCTCATTCATAGATTAGAAGACATGGTTAAGATGGGAATACTACTAAAAGCAATCTACTGATTCAGTGCAATCCCTATAAAAACCCCAATGGTATTTTTTGCAGAAATAGAAAACTCACTCTATCATTCATATGGAACCATAAGGGGTCCTCAACAGACAAAATAATCTTGAAAAAAGGAAAAGTTACAGGACTCTCACTCTCTGATTTAAAAACTTTCAAACCAACATTATCAAAACCATGTAGTACTGGCCTAAGTACAGACATATAGACCAATGGAATAAAACAGAGAGCTCAGAAATAAACCCTTGCATATAAAATCAATTCATTGATGACAAGATCATTCAATAGGAAAAAGACACTGCTGTGAGCAAATGGTGCTAGAAAAACTGGACCTTTTACTTTGCATACAAAAAATTAAGTCAAAATGGATCAAAGACTTAAATGTAAGAGCTAGGACTATAAAACTCTGAAAAGAAAACACAGGAGGAAAACTTCATCACATTGAATTTAGAGTGATGTCGATC